TGCAGGCGCTGATATCGTCCGTACAGGCCCTAGACTCAGGCTACTTGGACTGGTACCGGCCTACCTCTAGCCTACCGCTACTGGGCCTCTAAAAATGCCAACTTTTTGTCTTCTTCTGCTCGGCCTCAAGTACCCGACACTTCTACCACTACTTGAGCGGTACCGGCCTACTTACTACTTGAGTGTTTTTCCCGCTGCTCTAAGTGCCGCGGGCCTACCCCCGCTACTTGAGTGTGTTTTTCCCGCTGCAACCCTTGAAGTCACAGCCAAAGGTAAGTACCGGCCCTGCGGGGCTTCCAAACGAACAAGTACCCTTGTGTGTCACACACACACTCAGGCCGACAAGCACTCAGACAGGCACACAGACCAGCAGGCACGCACACACACACAGACTTAGAAAACACAGCAGAATGCGGGAATCTCAGCAAGGCATACATTCCCGCAGCAAATCCCAGAAATAAGCAGTGTTCTCAGTCTGTGTTTTGGCGGGTCAGTACATTTCAGACTTTTTCTGCTTTATGAAGAAAAGGTGTTTTTGAGTCTTTTGACTGTTTCTCCATTCTCTGATTGAAGCGTAGATCAGATGCAAATGGAAGCAGGCAAAGCCGACAATCCAGCAGCAGCCAGAGGTTGGCAACTGCGATTGCAAACTCAATGCGCGAGGCTTTTTTTCTTAAGAAATTTGGACCATTTCTCGATTTATGTCTGTCATCCTTGCGCATGGGCCATCCTAATCTTCTCTGTATTGTTCCAATTTTAACGGATGTCCCGAAGGACACAATGCATGAGGCTTTAATTTCACAGTGAACGCATTCAGTTCATGGCATGCGATAGTATGTACCACGACCAACCTTCTGCCTCCTGTGAACAAGCAATCAAGACCAGATGACCATTACTGTATTATTCCAGGGCTACAACTATGCTGGAGGGACCGGCATAATGTAGAACCCATGGCAAGACAGCTGGTTGGTCCACCTGCTGAGGAACAGCATGCCATTTGGGCATAGCAGACTAAAAGGCTTTCTACAGCCGTCGGATTGGTCGGACCAAGTATAGCTGAGTTGGTACATCCCCCCTGAACTGAACTGTCGAAATACAGACCAGGTGCTGAGTTACAACTCCACTGGAAGGAGATTAAGAAAAAAGGAAGGGTTAGAGAGAAGGCGCTCTACACAACGTTCCGATACGGAGACTCGGTCAGCGATTCTAAGTCACGTCCTCAGGGAAACTCAATGCTTTAGGTACCCAGGGTGAGTTGGACAAGACCAGAAAATAAAGCCTCACATAATGTGTCCTTCGGGACATCCGTCAAAATTGGAATGATACAGAAAATATTATTATGGCCCCTGCACAAAAGGATGACATCATGACACGCATAAATCGAGAAATGTCTGAAATGGTCCAAAAAAAAAGAAAAAAGAGGGGAAAAAAAAAGCTGCACATAATGTGCTTTGTATTCTACTTGACCGACACACGGCTGTACACACGGCTGTACATAATGTGCGCTGTACACCACATGTGTGGCCCACCCACTGTGCCTCCATGTGGCCTCCATGTGACCGAAGTGTGGCCCCTGCACTTCCCTTGGTTGCGGCATGGTAAGGACTACAGACACTGCCTGCACTGCCCAAGGGATTTCGGAGAACAAAAAGGAAAAAAGTGTCACCGCTTTCCCCCAACAATCCATGTCAATGAACTAAGTAGCATCATTTAGACACAGCTGCTCTCACAAAACAAGAAAGATAGCAAAGACGGGTGAAGAGGTAGCAGTATCAGAGATCCTTTTTTCATCAGGGGCGCTGGACCCGGTTTCCAGCAGGAACTATGATTGCTCTAATTATCAGGGACGCTTGACCCGGTTTCCAGCAGGTGATACTCTCCACCAATAGACTGGAGTCACAGGCTGCGCTGTTAGGGGAGTGTGCTCTTATCAGCTTCCCTAGCAGAGGCAGCGAGTGCTTTAAAAAAAAAAAAAGAAAGAAAGAAAGAAAGATAGCAGATGCACAGGAAGCAGGGATGGAGGTGTGATACATCCTTCCTGGAGACCTGAAGCAATCAATGCCTCCATCTCTTTTTTTTTTTCTTTTTTTTTCTGGGTCCCTTGGTTAGAACGAAAGGAAGCGTGGAGTGGGCACATGATGTGCGGGAAGCTGCACCTCGTTTCCAGCTTTATCAATAAAAAGTCAAAAAAAATGAACAAAAAAGAAAAGAAAAGATGACGACAAAGAAGAAACAACAAGATTGAGACACTGCCTGCGCACCACACAAGGGGTTATCTCATGGTCATAGTATGCTGGTAGCAGGCCTTGGGGGGAGGGATGTTTGAGTTCATAGCCTTGAGGTGGTCGGACGAGTGTGTGTGTGTGTGTGTGTGGGTTGTGTGTGGCCCAACGATCTCTGGGTCATGTCTCGTGTACTCACCATGGGCGGGGTAGAGGAGTCAGGTTGGGTAGGGTCTTAGGTCTAGGCTAGGTAGGAATTTGTGTACAGATTGTGGGCCTGTCCGTGTGCATCATCTCGTTCGTATGCACTGCTCTGTTGGTGTGTCATGAGTATGACTGGGGACCATGGTAGTTTCCCGACCTCATGGTACACCAGCGAGAGTATGCACTGCTCTGTTGGTGTGTCATGGGTATGACTGGGTACCATGGTAGTTTCCCGATCTCATGGTACACCAGCGAGAGTCCATACTTACATTGTTGGTCCCGGTCTGGCCCCGCTCTCTACACCCCCCTTGAGCAGTGGTAGGGGTTGGGTGTTAGGTATATACGATTCCCAAGAGCGGGCCTCGTGTCTATCTTAGTATGCTTGCGGGCTGGGCTTCATCTGGGCTGGTACCTGTCTGCGTCCCCATTGAGGGGGGTGATTGGGGCGTGAATCTAGGGAAGGGTCTCTGGGTAGGGGTCTCATCTTAGGCATGGGAGGGTGGGCTGTCGCATTGATAGTAAGAGGGTGGTAGACACCCATAGCGTCTGCTAGATGTGATACAGGTGGGAATGACCACATATCTGTGACCCCTCCTGTGTCCGGGTCGTCCTCAAGAATTCAGGGTGTCCCTATGGTAGCGCCCGGGGGAGCTCGTCTGAGACCCTTGGAAGGCGCGGGTTGGTCTAAGTCTAGGTCTAGAGACAAGGTCTGGGTTGCACCACTGTAGGGCTCGACTTGGGATCTGATTAGGACAAAAAAAAAAAAAGTTCACGAATGATGCCCCCAGGAGGAGACCGTTCTTGGGGCTGTCACAATCCATCTGATCTCCCCACGACTTGCGATCTGAGTAGGAGAATGTCCTTTAGGGATCAACAGGCACCTCCTGAGGCCTAGCATCCAGCCTCTACTACAATCTATACTCGAAAAAAAAAAGAAAAAAAGTAACAAGATTGAGGCAAAATGTCATTTCATCCTCCTCTCGCCATCATCATCTCCTTCAAATCATCTTCTCCTTCTCTTATAAGCAATTAAATACAATAACAAATGAATGAATGAACAAGAATCAATGTCCATGTGTTATAACAAATGAACGAGTGAACGAACAAGAATCAATGTCCATGTTATCCCCCTTATACAATAGCAAATGAATGAATGAATGAATGAATGAACAAGAATCGATGTCCATGTTATACCCCTTCCAGCCAGCACATGAAATGCTCTCTCTTTTAGGCTTCCCACTCACTTGACCTAATGGTCGCAGGTTCAAATCCTGCTATACCTCTCTCTATGGTTATTTAATTGTGGTGGCTCATCCATGTCCGGCACATATGTTTAATGGATGACGCACTACTACCATGCCTCTCCGATCTCATTCCAGCACAGATCAAGCACCCAAAACACATGGCGAATCAAAGGCTACAGGGGGACCGCAACACACAGCACCGAGACCATAAGCAAGGTCACCCTAGCTGGCACAGCATACACAAAGCGTGCCACGGTCGTGGTCTTCAACTTCATCGTACTTCCGCTCGCCTTCTCCCTCGGATTGGATGTATCGTCTGAAAGTTGTCTGCCATCCATGATGTCCCATCTTCTTTGGTCTCCTTCGTTTCTCTCCAAGAGGGCCACAAGCAGCCTTGTTCCCTCCTGTCCTTTTCGAGGGCATTCGCCTCCCTACAAGGCAGATGCCATCCCATCTCTCTTACATCTCTGTTCCATGATGGGCTTCTCAAGATTCTACAGTCCCACTTGGGCCCTGGACCGGTCCTCGCCCCTCCTTCGCCCCCTACGGGCTATGGCTTCTGGCCTGTAGGTTCCTAATAGGCTTGGGATAGGAACTCCATAGCCATCCATCGCTCTGCTGCATCAGGTGAGTTCGCCCTCCTGGCACGGAAACTGAACAATGCCGCAGGGCTGCATTGCAGACACAATCCGCCCGGCCCTAACTACTTCCTCCTATAGATAAGATTCTCAGACCAGGTTGTTTTTCATTGGCAGGATACGAATGCGAAACAGGGAGATGAAAGATTAATCAAAACAACTTACAAAAAAGAAAAAGTAAAATATTAAAAATTATTTTTAAAATAGTAAAAATACAGAATCTGGTAGGATTTCTCGGGGCTGCAAACCCCAATGCCCCTGTCCTCAGGGTCTTCCCAAGTTTCTTATTTGTTTCCTAACATTCCTTGCTCTCCTCGAATTTCATGTTTGCCGGGAATAAGTAAGCGGTTAAACCGGACTTTTTTTTTTTAACAAAAAAAAGGTAACCAGACTGTCACCCCCAGAATAGAAGGGGCTGAGTGTGTTCTGTGTTGGGGGAAAAAACAACAAAAAAATAATTATAAAAAAAAATGACGAGACTCTGACACCTCCTGAACAGTTAGCTTCACTACTAAGTGGTGATCACAAAATGTCAAAAACAAACCTTTCTTTTGGTAATCCTAGGAAAACAACGAAAAACAAAATACAAGCAAAGTTAGCAAACAGAGTTAACAAACCTCACTGGCAATGGAAAAATCAAGCCTTTTTTCTTTTATTACGACAACAGCAAACCACATAACAAGTAAACCAACCTTTTTTGCAATGGCTTTCGCAGTTATGGGGTGATCGCCTGTGACCATAAACACTCTGATCTGTGCCCGCTTGCACAGGTAGACCGCCTCTGCCACGCCTTCCCTTGGCGGATCAATCAATGAGATGAGCCCGACAAACGTCAAATCATTGCATGGAAAATTTGGCTCCGTCTTCGCCGAGAACTGCAATAGATATGTGAATTCCCAAAACACAAATAAATCATTTCTGATCAGTGTCCCCAGTCATCCCAATGTGAATAAAAAAAAATAAAAAAAATCAGGGGAAACACTAGACAAGAGTCATTCAGCCAAAGAAAGGTTAGTCAGAGACAGGTGAAAGCTGAACGCACCTGGGGTGTGGTCCCACGTGCCCAGATTCTTCATTTCTGATCATAGATTATGAAGAGTAAAAAAACACAAGTGGATGGCCCCCACGACTACACCTGCGGTGTTACACCTGCTGCTGCTCCTCCTCCTTCCCCCCACTCCCCCGCCACCAGAGGTGGGCATTTTTCTTGTTTTCCTCACCCGTCACCCAACCCGCCCAATTTTGTTTTTGTGCCACCCACCCGACCCAAGAATTTTAATTTCCACCTCGAGACAATACCACCCGCCCAAATTTTTTTTTTTTCAATTTCAGCCCTGCACCCGACCCTCCCGCCACCCGAAAAAAGTCCTCACCCGGACCCACCCGCACCCGTGAGAACATCATAACCCGTCTGCACCCAAGACCTAAATTTTTGCCACCTTCACCTGCTCGTGTCGATGCAGCCCTGCCCACGACGACTCCACCGGTGTCGCCACCTCTTTACCTCGTGCGGCCTGATATCGTCAGTCTGTCATGGTGTCGCACAGCAATAAGGCCAGGTAAATTGGGGGCAGGCTTCTGAATTTGTGAAGTTCGCTAACCAAGGCCGAACTTCAAAGAGGATGGATCTAGCCACCTACTGTGGCTAGATCCGCTCCCTCATTTTTTTAAAGAAGAACTGGGCGAGGGGATGGACTGTTGGAGGATTTTTTTTTCTTTTTGGCCCCGATGTCACAGACGACCATACATGACTGTACCCTGGCCCACTTTTTCGTTTCTCTTAACCTCGTGCCTGCTCACTGCACAGGCGAACCCAAGTCCTTTTTCTTTTTTTTTTCTTTTTTTTTGGGGGGGAGGCAGGGGACGAGGAACATTTTTTCGGGTGGTCCTGGGTCTATCGGTCGGGTGATTCAGATCAACGCTTCACCCACCTATCACCCACCCGATGGGTGACCCAGAGCAAATTTTGACCCGCCCATGACCCAGATTTCCCCTAGCCGCTCGCGCCCATCGCCCACCCAAGAAGGCATAGGTGGACCCAAACCCAACCCAATCACCTTGTCGGTCGGGTGGGACAGGTGGGTGCGGCTCTGGGTACCCGGTGCCCATCTCTGCCCGCCACCTCCTCTTCCTCCTCCCCGTTCTCTGCCACCTCCTCTCTGTCCTGCTCCCCCATCCCCATCCTCCTCGGCCATCTCTTCCTCCTCTACTACGTTCTCCCTCCTGCCCCTCTTCTGCCATGTCCTTGTCGTCCTCCTGCTCGTGCTGTGTCCTCCTCCTATCCCCCCTCCTCGTCTGCACTCTATGTGGCCAAGCAAAAGAAAAGAAAAGAGGCCTGACACAACGAAAAGATGAAGTCCACATCCTGGTTTCACCATGGGTCTCTCTCTTGTCAACTTGCAACATGTAGTGGACTGACTCATGGCCAAGCCAGAAAGAAGAAAAATGCTAATGCCCAAAGTTAGGCACAACTAGGCCCTTGGCACTGCCAGGCTGTACACTGTGGGCTGGGCGATACCACTCGGTGTGGGTGATACCTTTGTGGGATGGGTGGTATCATGCAGTGTGGCTGATACTATGTGGGCTGGGGAGTATCATGTGGACTGGGCTGAACCATGTGGGATGGGTCATATTATGTGGACTGGATGGTACTAACACACACAGCCATTAAACACACACACATCTTTGCACAATTCCACCCTTAGGACAGCTATGGTACTATGTGAGCTGGGCGGTATTGTGTTGGCCTGCATGATGCTACAGCAGTTAAGAGGGTGCTATTGGACCGGGTGGCACCTAAACTGCTAGTACACGGCCCCAGCCTTGCAGAAAGTTTTTGTTGCCACATGCAAAACTCGGAGGCGCTGTGCCGCGCGGAGAGCCGTGGGGAAAAAAAATTGGCAGCCTACGAAGCGGTGCAGGTTTCATGCTGACACTCGCGGGCCGATGTGTGGTGAAAGATGCTTAATTCGCAGCCAGGAGGCTGCTCCTTGTGTGGTTTGCATTTCGTCGTTTTGTGTCCTTTCCATTTTGGGTAATGCCGTGCAGTACAGCGTTGCTAGGATGGGTCCGTTTGGGGTTTCCGAAAGCAGAAAAAGGGTCCGGTCGCTGTGGTCCCTAAGACCGGTCATAGGGCAGGTCAGCTTGTCCAGGTCGTTCAAAAATCAGCATAAGGCGCCGTCCACAGTTTCCCTTTTGAGGGGTGGCGTTTTTCCCCGTTTCAAAATAGGGGCGGACGATTTGGGCCTGGGGCATTTCTGCTTTTGTTTTTTTTTTCAGTTTGAACTGCATCTCCCGAGAAATATGGGAAGCATTCATCTGTTTACTGCTATGAAGTATTGAAAAACGAGAAGGGAGTGCCCTGCCTTGTTGGCAGGGCTTACTAAAAAAAAAGGCAAAAAAAGAGCTATCGAGATCTAGGGCCTCGCTCCACGACTCACCAAATGTGCAACATGAGAATGAATAGTCCTGTAGAACATGTGTAGATACATCTCAAGTAGTTCAGAGGTTGAAATGGCATTTTGCCTTTGTTTTTTTTTTTTTTTGTTTTTTTTTTTGAGGACGGAGAATGTCTTCTGTTTCTCACGTGACTCCGCGTGAGAGGCGGGGGGAGCTATCTATGGGCCTCGTGCAAAATGAGAATCAATTTTCAGCTAGAACATGGAAAGATACACGACCATGATTTGTGTCTTTTGCGCATGTCGAGAGTAGTGGGAGGACGCCCTATTGCTTTGTCAGCCCCCTTCTTTTCAAGGCATTCTCACGCAGCCCTGTCCACAATCCCCTTCTTTTCAAGGCATTCTCACGAAGCCCTGTCCACAATGCATCTGACTGTACCTCTGGCCAGGCGTGAGGTGGTTCGACAAGGCCTCAGTAGCTTGCAATTCATTTTTAAACTTTTTCTTTTTTTTTTCTTTCCTTTCTTTTTTTTTTTTTTTTTTTAGGGTGTTTTAGAGGCCAAGGACCAG